ATGACATCCCTCTCTAAGGACTCATACCTCCTTGCAACATGTCCAAAGTGTGTCAGACAAAGCTTCAGAATCCTTGCCTCTAAGGAGCAGCTTGTTCTCACTCTCCCCACGATGAACTTGTTTGTTCTCCTAGCAGTCCAAGGTATATAATACTCTTCTCCAGCACCATACCTCAAAGGCCTCAATTCTCCTTCTATTCTCCCTAGTCATTGTCCAGCTTTCTGATGCATAGCAAGTAATTGCAAAGACTATGTCCTGGATCAACAAGCATATAGAATATCCAATTCTGCAACCAACCAACCAACCAACCAACCAACCAACCAGTTCGACCTCATAGACGTATACAGAACATTCCATTTATCAGAAGCAAGACATATAATCTTTTGCAATAGATTACAAAATTGGTTAATCTCCAGAGCAGATATTCTAGGTCACAAAATAAAACTCAAGAAAATTCAAACCATAAAAAAGAATACAAATAATTTTCTTTTATGATAAGTGTATAAAGGTAGAAATCAATACTAGAAAGAACAAGTGTGCTGTCAAAGGTTTATTGTTCATAATTACTTTCCTAGTAATTGACTTGATTTTGTCACATGGATGGGTGGGACCATACAAAAAGAGTGTGTTAGATTAGCCACAAGAAGATTGGCTAGTCTTGCCATTAAATTGAGCAGATTCAGCAGCAGAAATTCATGATCTCAGTATCAACAAGGATGAGGATGCAATGTGCCACCCTCAGAGCCAAAGATTCCTGCTCTAGCCAGACCAAGGTCTGCACAAGCAACAGCAGCCTCAGCAGAAAACTAGATACCAATATGAGACAGAGTTGACTTGGGACTTCTGTCCCGCAGAACCAGAGCCACAGCCAGAAGCCTGCACCAAGCTTGCTGGAGGACTGAGGCAAGATGCTGTATTTGGCAGGACTAAGAGAAATGTTACTACACTGGCCTAAGCCATAGAGCACAAAGTCAGAAGGCCTGTGACCACATTTGAGAAGCTGTCAGGACTGAGGGATTGTATCCTGCTGCCAATCTGAAGTATAGCCTTTGAATTTCACTAGTAAACTCCATAAGTATGTGTGTAGCTCTACAAAGCTTGTGTAGTCATTACTACAGATTTTGGACCCAGCAGAACAGTAAGATAGGTGTTGGAATGAGTACTAAGTGCAGGAGCATAGGAGACCATGTCTTACCTTATTGGATTTAACTGTATATTGTGGATGTTATTGATGGGGACAGTTTCCCTTTGTGCAGTTAAGAGAGGTCAGACTCAGCCAGACTGTTTTTTACAGTAAAGAAAATAAAATACACGGAGACACAGGAAAGACTTTTGATAGTCAGTCATTCCTGATAAAACCTCAATAAAATATGAATAAAAGGGAAATTACTCATTATAAAATAAAACCAAAAGCCAGTAATATTCTCAATTGTGAGAGGCTGAAAGCATTCCTCTTGAGAACAGGAACTAGAAGTATGCCCTTTATCAACTATACTTATTCAAAACTGGACAGGAAGTTCTAGTTAGAGCAAAAAGGAAAAGGGGGTGGGGAGGATATAACCTGGAAAGAAAGAAGTAAAACTATGTTAACAGGTGATATGATAGTGTACACAGAGAATCTTGAAGAGTCCACAAGAAACCTACTGGCACGAACAGATTCAACAAAGTACCAGCAATTAAGATCAATTTTAAAAAAATCAGCTGGATTCATCTACACCAATAAAGAAAACTTTGAAAAGAAAATCAGAAAAACAGTATCATTTACAATGTTACTTTTGTTATTGTGTCCCATCAAGTTGGAACCAACTCATAGCTGACCCTCCAGAGGGTTTTCAGAGGCCGTAAATCACACAGAAAGAGACTGCCATTCTTCTCCCATGGAACAGCTGGTGGATTCGAACCATGTTCGTTTGGGTTGGCAGCATAATTCCTTATGATTAAACCACGAGACCTCCCTTACCATTTACAATAGCACTCCTAAAAAGAAAATACTTGGGAATAAATCTAACCAGTGATGTAAAAAGCTCTTTTTTAAAAAAATAAGGAAGAGAAAGGGAGGCAGAGGGAGGGAAATGTGCAACAATGAATGAATAAAAACCCAACTTTTCTGTAAATTTTCTTTAAAGTCATAATTTTAAAAAGTTTTTAAAATTACAGAACACTTCTGCAAGAAACCTATAGAAACAGAAAAACAAACTATGCTCCCGGATAGGAAGACTTGATGTTGTTATATGCTGTCAAGTTGCTTGTGATTCATAGTGACCTTATGTACAACAGCTCTGAAACCTACCCTATCTTGAGACAATCTCACTGTCTCTGATACATCAACACCAATTACCCCAGTAACTGTCAATCCATTTCATGTGAAGACTTATTGTGAAAATGTCAATATTACTCAAAGCAACCTACAAATGTGATGCAATCCTGGACCAAATTCCAACAGCAGAAAAACTAACCACTAACTCAATTTGGGAAGGGAAGAGAGCCCAAGCAAGTAAAAGCATTTTAGAAGAACAAATCAGGAAGCCTCAAATTACTGGCTATCAGGCACAGTGGTCAAAAAACATCCTGGTACTAGTACAATGACAATATACCAAGATCAGTGGAACTGGTGTACTGATAAGATACATAGATCAATGGGACAGAATTGAGAATCAATACCTAAAATTTTTTTAAAAAAGACATAAATCCATCCATCTATGGACAAAAAGCAAAGTCCATTAAATGGGGAGAAGATGGTCTCTTTATGGTACTGGCAAAACTGGATGTCTATATGTAGAAAAATAAAACAAGACTCATACCTCACCCAATACATAATAACAAATTCAAAATGGATCAAAGACCTGAATATGAAGTCTAAAACTAGAGAGATCATGGACCAAAAAGTAAGTACAATGCTATGGGCTCTAATACACAGCGTACATAAAATACCAAAAATTACTTAAAAGTGCACAAACAGCAAATGAACTATCTAAATGAGGCTTCCTAAAACTTAAGCACATATATTCATCAAGGAGCTCTGGCGCTAAGCAGCTGCACTGTAATCCCGAAGGCAAGTGGTTTGAAGCCACCAGCTGCTGGGAGAAGGATTGGCAGTCTCCTCCTGTGAGATTTACTATCTCTGAAAACCCACCAGAGGGTCAGCTATGGGTTGGTTCTGACTCTATGGTACACAACAACAACACATACTTGTCAAAACAAAGGAAACAAACAAACAAAAATTGTTATTAGAATATAGTCAGGCTTATTTGTTTTCACATTTACTGAGAAAACTTCCATACTAAAATTACAGAGTTAAGTATCTGCAACAGAGGCATTGGCAACCTACAAAATTGAAAATATTTACATAAACAAAATAAAATTAAAAAACTCTAGTGGTTAAGGGGTAAATCATATGGTTGCAGAATTTGATGGGTAGAGGGAGGGGATGGGCAAAGGAAATGGGAAAGACCCGGTGTGAAAAACAATGTATACAAATTTTGTAAGAAACCAGTATAAAATAAAAATTTTATTAAAAAGCCCCAACCCTAGTGGTAATAAGCATGGTAACAAGGTTGGTATGAGTGCAAAGGGGACGAGGCACCTATGTGCTCAGCACTGAGGCATGAGAGAGCTAGAGTGATCATTAAAATGTAGAAGAGGAAGCCATCTACCTTCTCATAAGGAGGAAAAGTGAAAGTAAAGGTAAAAGAGAAGATTGGGTTGTGATGAATGAGGAACTGGACACAGATTAGTTACATAAGAAGAAAGGCTTGTTAGGACTGGTCCTCATAAAATCTGTCATTTAAGAAAAAGTCTTAGTGAGGGAATTAGATCTCTTAGTTTGGGTAAAGAGGTTTGGGAAGGATACCCCATTGAGGACATCGAGAAATTGTGTGCTTTGGCCAGAGAAATGGTAGTGGGGGGGGGGGAAACCGACCTGAAGTCACAGATATAATGCTGCTCAAATGTAACTGAGAACCAGGTCGTCGGAACAAGTGGTCCTGACCCTCAAGAGAACAGAACTACAGTGTTGCCTGTGCTTCCTTAGGAAGTAGAGAGACAGTACTTTTTCCTCTGCTCCACTTCTTCTGTCGTGTTTGCCACAACCACTGTAATGTTCCACTTTCGTTGCTCTTTTCCTCATCTCTCCATGATAGACTCTTTTGCAGGTTTGCTAATGTCACTGGAATTGTTTCTCTGCTACCGAGTGAGAACAAGTAACAAAGGCTTCTCTTATGATTTGCTTATAGTCACACAGCTTTTGTATTTCATTCTACCCACCAATCTTTTCTGATAGTTACTACCAGCTAGGTACTGTGTGAGGGTGACAGAGCTAAGAAGCAGGACAAATGAAGAAGTGTACAGTCCTTGGGGTCAGGCAGGTTATGTTCGCTACCCCGCCACCACTCAGGTGGTCTGTCAGAAGGTTGAATTTATTAGACCCAAGGGCAAAAGGCTAAGGATCCATTCCCAAATAGAGAAAAAAGGACAGAAAAAGATCTGTGTAGAGCTGGGAAAGGTGATATAGAAGGGCAAAAACAAGTTCATCCACAATGAACAGAATGTGGATTTTGAAGCAGAGTATATGCAACAAGCCACGTATAAGTGATAAGTGATAAATATCACAAAACCTGACAGAAGGAATTTATAAAATATATTTTCCAAAATTATAATGATGGAACATTAATCGTTAGGATGAAAATTCCACATTCAGGTAGCCACACTATACCTTTTAGGATTAAATTCCTCTAGTATTAGAATTCACTGAAATCTTGGCCTTTTCCATAGAGCTTCCCAAACTTTCCTTCTCTTGAGGATTACCTGAGGCACTTTTGGGAAATTTTTTTCCCCCTTGTATTATTTTTTGTGTGTGTACCATCAAATTGGATCTGACTGGTACAGGAGGTGATTGCCCCTCCTTCTCCAGCAGAGCATCAGGTGGATTTGAACTGACTTTTGGGAAATCTTAATTCCTAGGCACCTTTTCTGGAAAATCTGAGTGAATAGGTTTGGGGTGGGAATCAGGGATGTATGTTTTTCACAAGGGGTCTCAAGTTCTTCTTACAATGTGTTAAATTTGAAAAACAGTATGTTATTTGTCATTGTTGTTGTATTTGCGTCGGAACTGACCCATAGCTGACTTTCCACTAGGTTATCAAAGGCTATAAATGGCACAGAAGATTTCCCATCTTTTCCCATAGCTGGTGGATTCAAACTACCATGTGGGAAGCACAGTTCCATACTAAATCACCACAGCTCAAAAGAGAGTATATAGGAGTTGCTTTTGAAACGGCTTACACTCTATCTACACGCACACTATATGGTTAATAGTTTCATACAAATGGTTATTTTTTTTCCAAGATCACACATAAATAAGACTATTGAAGGGCACAAGTGAAATGAAGCTTGTAATGAAAGGTTTCATTTAAATAGAATGTACTGTTAAAACATATTGGTATTGCCTAAGAATGCCGTACTCACCCCCTTGGGATGGATTTAACAATGCCAGCATTGTAATTTTTTTCCAGGTTGGCTCCATATGAAATGGCAGTAGCAATTATTGTCTGAAATAAAACAAAAGAGGTGGAAAAAACCCCTTCCCTTGGTTTTAACAATTTCTTTCTTGCCAATCGTTGTCCATTTAACATTAAATTATATTAATTATATGTCTTACTTACCACAATTACTTCTATAGGAATTGGGATGGGAATTTTGTGTTTAAATCGATCATTTAATTCCTTAACTGCCATACAGATAACAATGGTAAGTAATCCAGCGATGAAATCAGCAATATTGGTGCTGCCAACGTTTTGAAAGATCTCAAGCAGTGTCTGCAAAAGGAAAATAATTTTATATACTTCCTGTTGAGAACTGACAAAAATAAGGGCAAAATTAGTTCTCATATGAATCTTTCCAGCTGATGAAAATCATGATATCATCAACAAAGAGCTTGAATTTCATAAAAAAAATCATAAAAACTTGCTGGGTAGTACATAAAACATTAAATACACAAAGTCTCTGTAAAACTATTTTGATTAATTGCCAACTCAAGAACGGTTTTTTAATCTAAGTTACTAATGATGGTTTAACAAGAAATAAAATTATGGGTCATTTATATTTTCTAATTGTTTCTATAATCAAGATAAAGAACAGCTTTTATGTCATGACACACTGGTTTCTAACTTGCAGAAAAGTAATATTTGATATTCTAAAGTGGTATTAGAGGGGCTGTTCATTCATTCAGCACCTCCAATGTATGAAGACACTAAGTACTTGAACATGGAGTACCTCATTTAATCTTTCCAACAATCCTCGATCTGTCCTTGTTGTCAAGTTGGAACCAACTCAAAGTTGACTTTCCAGCACATTTTCACAGGCTCTAATTCACAGGGGAAGACACTGCCCATCTTTCACCCTCATGGCAGCTGGTGTATTCAAATCACCTACCTTTGATTTAGTTGTCTTGTAACTCCTTACCCAGGGAGGCCTCTAGGCCTTCCTAGAGGGGCTATTAGGGTTCACCATGTTGATATGGTGACATGGACCCTAAAAGCTGACACACCAAAAATTCCCAACTATTTTTGTCATAAATATCCAGCACTTTAGATAAAGTTATTTCCTAAACCTGAATGATATCAGTAAAAATAAAAATTCTTAAGGTAATGCACATGTTGACTCTTTATAGCAATGACAGGCTATTGAATTGTGGTACATAACCACAAACAGCATACTTTTGGAAATTAATTTGGAATTTAGCTAAAACTTGAACTAAGATGCCTTAAGAAAAGTAAATCTCAATGATTGAATGAAAATCTAACTTTTCTGTAAGTTAAGACCACAATGAAAAGAAAAAATCTTATTTAAAGAAAAAAAAAGTAAATCTTTCCAAGGAAGCAGACAAGTCAGCTCAAGGAAAAACTAGTTTTGTTTTGTAAACAAAGGGTTTCTGAGAATCAAGGATATTCTTCAAGGAAATTAGCATGGGAGAATCCCAGGAAAGAAAACTAACATGTTATACTAACTTTGGTTCTGTAGAAGTCATTAAATTACAAAAGATTTTCATCAGGTATTTGAGACAAATAAACTCCAAGTGAAGATTATTTGCCTTTCAATGAATCTTTGTATGGATATATTTTAAAATGAAGATCAAAATAACAAAACATCCTATCATTTATAATTAATAACTTGTTTATTTTTCCAGATATGTTTAAATAATTATGATGTCAGCCTGGTGACAATTATTATGTGTAACAAACATTAAGTAATCTAGAAGTCATTTTCCCAGCAACTGAATACATTCAAGAGAGTAAAGGAAGGGGAAGGGCAATGATTGTGCAATCAAACATCTCACCAGTTGGACTTGTACGTTCAAGCATTTGACTTGTACTAAGAGCATGTTTTCTCAAAAAGTTGCAAATAGAGATACCATTTGACCCAGCAATTCCACTACTGGGAATATACCCTGAAGAGACCATAGCTGACATCCAAGCAGATATATGCACACCCATGTTTATTGCAGCTTTGTTCACAATAGCAAGGAGCTGGAAACAACCTAAGTGCCCATCAACAAACGAATGGCTAGAGAAGCTGTGGTATATTCGCACAATGGAATACTATGCTGCATTAAAAAACAAGGAACTCATGCAATATTATTCAAAATGGTTGACTCTGGAGAACATTATGCTGAGTGAAATATCCCAGTCACAAAAGGACAAATATTACATGATGCCACTGTTGTAGAATGGGACTGTCCTTGGGGTTGGGGAGAGACTGAGTAAGATGGGTTCAATAATGTATGCTGCTCTGAAACAGAGGAGGGAGAAAACTGTTTAAAAGAGATATATAACTAGGTATTTCTGTTATCACAGGAGACTAGAGCGAGGGCTACATGGTGGAGGGGACCTGGGGGAGGGTTTGTAAAACAATGAAAGAATCTTTTCTTTTACTTTTCCATATTTTTTGGACTCATGTACTTATAACTTGTTAGTCAAATTTGTGTCTTCTAGGTTGCAATACCCCCATGATACATCTTCAAGGATATGAACATGTACGGCCAAGCACAATCAATAAGAGTGCATCTAAATTCCAAAATCAATCTCCATAATAGTCTATGTGTTTCCTACTGCCAAAGGGGCCCTTTAGAGTAGTGAGAGAAGATCTTCACCCTGAAACCCACAGCATCCCTTTTCAGCAGGAAGTAGCTAAGAGAATACACCATCCCCCTTTCCTTATGACTCAGGGTGAAGTCTCTCTCAGGGAGGAGTGATAGGGAATGGCAAAGGACACACTGACAAAGAAGATTAATCAGAACTGGCTTTGACAAGCACTGTGGCATTTGGACAAGAACAAACTGGGAGGAGGGTAGAGAGAATAGTGCAACAATGAATGAATGGAAACCCAAAATCTCTGTAAATGTTTATGAAAATTAATAAAATATAGAAAAAAGAGAGCATGTTTTCTTTTGCCTTAAATTCAATACTAACAAGTTCATTTGATCTTTTCCAGAATTCAATGAAAAATGCAAGAGAAGATATATTGATAGCAACAAGATGAAACCACTGACAACATGATGGAAAAAAAGAAAATAGACACCAAAAGCAAACCCAATACTTCAAGTTCAAGGACAGGGAACACAGAAGCAAATGGTCCCACATCATCATAGTCTTGACAATATCATTACTTTGTTTGGTCTCAAAATAATCAATTTTCTGATGATGACCTTCGCAAATTAATGATCCAGGTATGGTATTTTAGCTTAATTGCCTACATTTGAACGCTTCACTTTTCCATTGAAAATGGAAAATTCACATGTATGAGGCAAACATTTGAAATGATACCATTTGCAAAAACATTTTCACCTTACAAAGGTATCTACTTCAAGAGTGTCACTTAATCCATGAAAATCACTTAGACCTGTAAATAAAAAAATGCCTCTGGTATATTAAAAAAATGTGATTTGAGTTGCAAAAGAAATTATCCTACTGTATATTACACAACTGCCTCAAATAAGGTATATTCATATATTATTAACTTAAATATTGAGGAATCATTCATAACCTCTTACAAAAGTTCTACATTAGAAAGTTGAATTTACAACTCATCTATATAAACTAAGAGTCCATACACACACACTCACACACATTCACAATCACGATCACTGATCATGGAAGGCACAATCAAGAAATCAAACGACATACTGGTATGGACAGAGGTGCTACAAAAGGACTTCTTTAAAGTGATAAGGAGTGAGGAAGGTTGACAAGACTTCATCTCACATACTTTGGCTATGTTATCAGGAGGAGCATGGAAGTCACACTTGGTAAAGCAAAAAGCCAATGAAAAAGAGGGAAGTTTCAACAAAATGGATTGATGCAATGGCTGCAACCATGGGGAAAAGGACAACAGAGACTGGGAAGATGGTCCTAAACCAGGCAGTGTTTCATTATGTTGTATACAGAGCTGTGACGAGCTACAGCTGACTTGATAAGACCTAAAAATATAAACTAAAGTTGATTAAACTCAAAGATATATACATGAGCTGCTAAGAGAGCATCGAAATGCAATTCTAATTCCATTGACTATTAAGATATTTGCTAAAGTTTTTCAATCCAGTCATTTGTTGATGGACGTTTAGGCTATTGTTGTGTTCTTGCTATTGTGAATAATGCTGCTGTGAACATCAGGGTACACATTTCCATTTGTATCTCAGTTCTGTTTTCCTTGGAGTACATTCCTGGAATCTCTTTTTTTATCAGTCTTGGCTTTTTTTTTTTAAAGGAAATGCCAAACAGCCTTCCAGGGTGGTTGTAGTATTTTCCAATTCCACTAGCAGTATATGAGATTCCAATCTCTCTGCATCCTCTCCAACCAAAATGTGCCTCAGCAAATGACTGGGTTTAAAAACTTGTGGTACATTCACACAATGGAATACTACGCGGCACCTTAGGAACAATGATTTTGAAAAAATACTATGTAACCTGGGAGAGGCTAGAATGTATTATGCTGAGTGAACTAATTCAGAAGAATAAATATTGTGTAAGTCCACTATTATAAACACAGAAACATAACCAGTGGGATGTGTATGGATATGCAGTTATTAGCTATGTTCATGAAGAGTAATGAGTACTTGGGACTGATGTAAGGAAATCCTGTCTAAAAAGGAACATTTCTGTACCAGAGCTATGTCACACCATTCTTTGGCTCTCTGCTGGAAAAGTAGAATCAAGCCTCAAATAATGCATTTTTATTTGTATTGTCTAGTTTTATGGCTGTAGATCAATACTGTATCTTACCTCTGTAAATGTAAAATAACATTTTCTTTAACATGTTATTCTGAAATGTTTTCTTCCCAGATGATGATTGAAGTTGGGATAGTTTGTTTGTTTGGGGTTTTTGGTGATTATATTTTTGCTTTTTTTTTTTTTACATTTTTAAAAATTTTTTTCTTTTTTTATTAATTTCAATGAACATCTACAGAGATTTTGGACTTCCATTCATGTTTGTTTGTTTTTTAAAAAGGTTCCAGGTACCATAACCATAACAAAACTTTGCTATTTTCTGAAATTTTGTTTTGTTTTTTTGTTTTTAAAGTGGAGTGTGCTGGATGTCTTTACTATTTTTGTTCTGATGACTGCAGAACTTGCAAAAGCCGTTGCTGCTACTGAGCCATAACAGTCTGTAGGATATATATACGCATACAAAATTTGAATTTTTGGAAACTTTTCAGTGGTTCTGTCAACTTTGGAAAAAGCATTCCCCTTGTACCATGTTGAGTTGTCATTGTACAAAAATTAATAGCCATATTGGTATACAAATGTTAAATTTAATTTTT